CCAGAACCTCCACAAGAGGAACCAGAACCTAAACAAAAGGAGCCAGAACCTCCACAAGAGGAACCAGAACCTAAACAAAAGGAGCCAGAACCTAAACAAGAGGAACCAGAACCTAAACAAGAGGAACCAGAACCTCCACAGATGGATGAGAACCATGAGGATCCAACACTTTCACACATTAAAGAAGNGCAAATGATAGTAGGCCTCTGCAGACCTTGATGGCATACTGAAGAGGCCTACTAATTAAACACTCCTTAGGTTCAGCTGTGTTGGACCAGGGCAGCACCTAAAACATGCAGGACACCGGCCCTTGAGGACTGACTTTGGACACCTCTGCCTTAAGCTGACTAACTCAAAGAAAATCAGGATTAAATGTTTACTCAAATGATAAAGCAAAATAAAAGTACTGTTGGATTACAGATTTATTTGTTAATAACCCAGAACCAATGCTAAATAATTTTGACTCCAAACCATAATGAGAGGGGATCTGGAGATTTGACACTAACCGTGTTTCCATCAAGGCTTTTTGATGCGCATTTATAAGTGTCGCAATAAAAATGCAAAAAAAGTCGGATGGAAACAGCAAAATTTGAAAAAAAAATCCTCAATTCGCTAAAAAGTTTTTACGCTCGCTTGAGGTGGTTTTTGGATGATTCACAAAGTAGTTAATGCGCAAAACTGGAGATGGAAACACGTTTGCCGAATAAATTCTGAAGTAGCGCATATTTACCTCACGTGACGTTCAGCTGTTTCTGCTTTCCTGCCTCGTCCCAGATGTTATCATAAGCGCACGAAAACATGGCTTTATTTCCGAACATCTCCTGGCAGCGTTAAACATAGCCTGTACTAGCTGAATAGATAGAATAATTACAACTTAAAAAATAAAATAAAAAAAGACATAAAAAATAAAAAAGTGTCTAGTAATTAGGAACACTTAGTAGATGGGCTAGATATAAGATACAGTTGGGCTCACTTTGATGCACAGCATGGGCTCCAGAACCCAATCTCCTCGAGAAAACGTCATTCCACTCTAGATTTGCCCATGGTGAGAGGCGTCGAGCTGGTGTGGGTCTACTTTTGGCCCCTCGACTTGGTGCCTGTGTGTTGGAGTTTCATTCACTCAGTGGATGAAAGGGTGGCTTCCCTGTGTGTTTGGGTGGAGAGTTGAGTTCTGACTGTGGCAGTGCGGTTAGGGGAGTCGTCCTGGAACTGGTAGGTTGCTGGTTCGATTCCCTGACTCGTATGACCCCTCTTGCAGGTGGTGGGCCGACAGGAAGGCAAACCCATGTAACTTATTCAGGCTGAGCCCGATGGGCAGAGACCCGGTCATCAAGTGCTTGCTGACAAGCCACTCTCCCAGGCCTGGCTCCTGGGTGGGACACCGGTAGACCATGTCCGGGCAAGGGTCACAGTGTTCCTTGATCTTGCTGTCCATACAAAGGTTTTGAATCATTCTTTGTCAGGCCTGCCACCTAGGGGACGTTTCGATTGCCCTCAACTGCTTAGCTCCTAGGATAATTCAGGCAAACAAACTCCTCRACCACRATAAGGTGACGATTCAAAAGAAGAGCAGATAAATGTCATAACTTTCAAATCATCTTTAGATGCATCAAAGGATTTAAGTGAAGTGTGCTTCTTCATTCATCAGCAGTTTCTTGTTTCTGTTTGTCCAGAACTCCCACAGCATTATGTCTGGAAGGAGAAGGAGGTTCTCACTGACCAGCAGCTCTGTAATCCAGAGAGGAACTCCAGTTTGGACCAGGAGGAACCAGAACCTCCACACATAAAAGAGGAGGACATCTGTAGTGGTCAGGATGAAGAGCAGCTTTCACTNCATCTGTAGTGGTCAGGATGAAGAGCAGCTTTCACTCAAGCAGGAGGCTGAGACATTTATGGTGACTCCTACTGATGAGGAGATGACCCACCAGGAACCAGAACCTCCACAAGAGGAACCAGAACCTCCACAAGAGGAACCAGAACCTAAACAAGAGGAACCAGAACCTAAACAAGAGGAACCAGAACCTCCACAGATGGATGAGAACCATGAGGATCCAACACTTTCACACATTAAAGAAGAAAATGAAGAAGAAGAAGCAGAATCTTCAGAGATGGAAGAGGAGCAGGAGACTGATACCTTCATGGTATCTTCTGCTAACAAAAGAAATCAGTGTGAGTTAGAACCAAACAGGAAGCAGCTCCTCTCTCAGAACTCTGCTGAAGCTGAGAAMCAAGTTCAGGAAGGAAGCAGGACTGGAGATCGGCCCTTAGTGAAGAAAGAAACAAAACCATTTCTGTGTTTGACCTGTGGGAAAAGATTCAGGGCGAGAAGTTCTTTAAATGTTCACATGAAAACTCACACAGGTGAGAAACCCTTCTTATGTCTGAGCTGTGGAAAAGTGTTTCCATTCAAAAGTTGTTTAACTGCTCATATAATATCTCACACAGGTGAGAAGCCCTTCTCATGTCAGACTTGTGGGAAAAGTTTTGTTAAAAAAATCAGTTTAAAATCTCACAATTGTCACGCWGGTGAGAAGCCCTTCTCATGTCAGACCTGTGAAAAAAGTTATTTTCGTAAAAGCAGTTTAAAATCCCACATGAAAGACGAAAACGAGCACCATTTTCTTTTAGCTAGTAGCAGACACGACACGACGGATCTTCAACAGACACGATATTTCTCTTCAAATTCAAACGCACCCATCGTGGAAAAGAATAGAAGATCTTCCTATGATGCCGCTTTTAAGCTGAAGGCTATTGAAATTGCGCAACAGGAGGGAAATAGAGCCGCTGCACGAAAGCTCAGCCTGAACGAATCGATGGTTCGGCGTTGGAGACAACAGCGGGAAGAACTCGTTCAGTGCCAAAAGACAAGAAAAGCTTTCAGAGGACATAAGAGCAGGTGGCCTGAATTGGAAGATCTTCTTGCGGATTGGGTAAATACACAGAGAGCAGACGGCCGAGGTGTATCCACCGTGCAAATCTGCCTGAAAGCCAAAGAAATGGCTCTCCAAATGAACATTGAAAATTTTAATGGCGGACCATCCTGGTGTTTCAGGTTCATGAGAAGAAAGAACCTGTCCATCAGGCATGGACAACCCTCTGTCAGCAACTCCCCCCGGACTACCAGGAAAAACTCACAAATTTCAGACAATTTGTTGAAACAAAAATCGCAGAGAACGCCATCGGACCGGACAACATCATAAATATGGATGAAGTGCCACTAACATTTGATATGCCTCTGACCAAGACCGTAAACAAGACCGGTGAATCGTCCATTATGGTGAAAACAACGGGACACGAGAAGACGCATTTCACCTGTGTGCTGGGCTCCACGGATTCTGGAAAGAAGCTCCCCCCGATGGTGATTTTTAAGCACAAAGCTATGCCGAAAGACCAACTCCTGAAGGACATTGTAGTGAAAGTCAACCAGAAAGGATGGATGGTAGAAAATCTGATGAAGGACTGGTTAACGGAGTGCCATGGAAACCACCCAGGAGGATTTTTCCACCAGAAAAAACTGCTGCTAGTWATGGACAGTATGTGGGCCCACATCACGGATTCGGTGAAWGCMGCMATCAAGAAAACAAACTCAATTCCTGCTGTTATTCCTGGAGGTACAACAAAGTTTTTACAACCCCTGGACATCAGTGTGTGTCGTGCATTTAAAGCAGCACTCAGGGCTGAATGGGAGGCTTGGATGACTGACGGGGATAAATCATTCACAAAAACTGGCCGAATGTGAAGAGCGTCATTCCCTGATGTCTGCCAGTGGATCCCAACAGTGTGGAGCAGAGTGAACGAGTCTACCATCACCAATGGGTTCTGAAAGGCTGGACTGCTACGTGAAGAGGACACCACAGCTTCAGAGCCAGCAT